AAGACAATTTGCTATTGCAAGAAAACATGAAAAAGCAAGATAAATCTAAAGATCATCATTTTATTTGAACACATAGCCATATTATATGTTATTATTGTAGCACAACATCATACAAAGGTAATGGAACCACCTTTTCCATTTTTGCATCTTCATAAAAACTATAACTTATTTAAAACCATTTATCAAGCAATCAACAAGTTAAATCAATAAATTAATAATACTACATCCAATGACCATGAAATGTTTATCACAGCACACACATAGCATTAGGAGCCTACCATAAAAATTTCACAGCAATTGGAGCACCATAACTTTAGATATGAGAATAACAAGCAAAACAAGCTAAAATTGTCTATTTAACAAGATTAAATCAAAACATTATAAAAACAGTACACAAATAGCATGTTTAATATTTTAATTAGCTAGATCATGTCATCACAAGATTAACACAACTAGAATTACCATTTTTTGACTTCTATCACTCAAGATATGCATCCAACAACTTAAAAGGATTTCTAAAAGCACTTTATAAGAATAAATAAAAACATCAGAAACTTTCTACTAACACATATCATATTATGACTCTACTATGTAGATCTACTCATAAGGATTCCAAAAAGTCCTCATTTGCTATTTTTGGATTTTTCTACAATTTACTATGCATTTTAGAACTTTCAGCCGATTACATGCATAAAAGGAAAACATAAAAGAAAAACACATTTTCATCCGGAACCCAAAACTTTCTAGAAATCTACCAAGCCTGCAAATGTAAATATATGTGTCTAGGCATTAAGCAAATGGACCTAGCAAAGAGTTTCTATCTATGATTCGCCCCATCTTCTTCAACTTCTCGACGCAGGACGAAGCAGAGGATGAAGGAGGATGTCGGGGAGGCTAGGCTCCGTGCAGCTAGTGGTCGGCGGTGCTGAGGAAGGGGACGGCCAACTCTGGTTGTGGCTAGCCATGGCCCTAGCTCGACAAAAGGTTGGCCGTGGCCTGCTGGGAGCGGCCAGTACAACGTCCGCGTGGCTAGCTATGGCAGCGGCGAGGCGACATGGCTCGGAGCAGTCGAGGCGGTGGCGAGGACTGGGAAAGGTGCAGCGTGAGGGCCAACACGGCCGGAGGGAGGAGGAGGAAGGACTGGCGGAGGAGGAGGAGCAGCAGCAGCATAAGCTTTATTGCTTGGCCATTCAAGGCGAGAGCGAGGAAGAAGGATGGAGAGGGAGCGAGAAAGAATGGGAGAGCAAGGGAGGGGCAAGCGCTCGGGCTTGGTTTTCCCAATCAGAGGAGCGATGTGGCCAGCATGCAAGAGCGAGGCTAGCCACACGGCCTATAGTGCCCGAAGCCGGTCGGCCATGATGCCATTCGTTTCACAACCTGAAGGAAGTAACTAATACCACCGCAAAAATACACAGAAACATCAATCTTCCTCCCTTCGTAACTCCTAATCTGTTTAGTTTTGGCACAAGCGGTAGTAATAAAAGTTGTAGAGCTACGTGAGATCTCCAACTTTGCTTAAAGTGCCAAAGTCTAATTCGGCCTGGTTGGAGAGATACAAGGTTCCAAATTGGGGTTCATGAAACTTGAAAACTGAATTCAGTTTCAAGCCGACTGAAACCTCCAACTTCTCCCCTCTATATCTCCCAAACCATTTGATGATTTGATCAACCAATTTCTCCTTGTTGTAGTGGTACGTGAGTACTACAACCTTGATTAAAGAGTTTGGCCAAATTCAACATGGTTTGCAAACTAAAATTCACCAAAGACAGGTACATGAAAACAGAAACACGAAGATTCAGTCATCCCAGACTTAGCCAAATTTCGGGATTCCAAAACAACATTTTGTTGATTCTTGTGAGCTCTGTTTGGCTAAGCTAGGCACTGATTTAGCTCTTGACCATTAAACAAAGTTTGTTCTACATGAGATGAACTACAACTTTTATTCAGGTTCCACTACCATGCAAACAATCTAATCCATAGTTCAAACCAAGTCAAAGTAGCGCCACGATAAAGCTTAAATTATTTTTTTGATCTATTGAAGCATTTTCTGGCCACTTGCTCAACATGAACCCCTCATAACTTTTGTTCATGAGTGTAAGTAGAGTTGTTTGATCTAGGTTGCATGGTTTGGTTGACATCCCATGTTATAGTTCACTTAATAAAGCGATTCAAGCAAGGATATAATTCATCATTCCATGGGACTTCTTGATTCCAAACATCATGAAACTTTTCCACTGGTCAAGATGGATGAATGTTGATGTAATGTACATGAAACAAGCATGTTTGACATTACTCATGCCTAACCTTAACCAGGGTCCACATGTAAGCAAAGGTGTGTGGTCCAAGTTCAAGTTGGGACTCAATTTCATAGATTGGACCACAACACCTTCATCATCACTTTAAAATTATGAACTAGAGATCATAATAATTGCAACATATCCTACTTAAGTCCAATTTTGCTAATTAACTCATGACTAACACCCGAGGTGTTACAGCCGAGGCCAAAATTAGACTGCGAAGGGGGTTACGACGGGTTATGAAAGGTCCGAGTGTAGTAGTGTTAGGTCAATGGTCCTTGCTGAATTTGTCATAGTTGGTCATGTTCCTGCATCAAAAAGGATGTACCTTGTGAAGGGATGCTTCCATTGTGCAGCCTTTCGTTGGATGGTTGCCTTTGTTGTTGATCTTGATGCATAAATGTGAGTGATCTGGATTAGGTAGGTCAGGTGTAGAATAGTTTGTTCCTACATAGGTGAGATTGTAGTTTTGTGTAGCACCCAGTTTTAAGAACAAAACCAGATACACACCATATGTGAGCCTAGGAAGTCAAATCTCACATATAGCTACAAATAAGGGTAATACCAAAAGACAATGCTTAATATATAACATATTAGTATAAAGAATACAACCTTAGATAGTAGATAGCGGAAAGACAACTCTGATCTTCGGGTGAAGATTCCAATTCCACAAGTATAACTGACTGGTTGATCACAAGCCTAATTCCTCCAAACTCTAGCAATCTGGTACCCATCCGGAATTTTTATCCAAATAATTGAAAAGTAAAGCAAGCATAAGTACATATCGTACTCAACAAATATAACATGGGGTTCATGAGGCACAAAAGGCTAACACTAGTTTAACTGCAATTAGCTTTTAATGAGTCATGATTTTAGCAATTGAGTAGCAACAAGTTTATCACAAGCCCATGTAAACACATGATCAGGTAAACATGAATAATGAATAGCATAAACAGTAATCATTAGTGAGCATCTTTAGCATCAGTACCATCAGTGTTCATAATCTATTCCGTAAGGGTCCAAGGTTGCTCGTGACCGTGAGCACGACTGATATACCAGTTTTACACTTTGCAGAGGTTGTACACTTTTACTATGAGTCGTGATTTACCCTTTCACCTGAGGTGATCAGCGTCTTGACCCACTACCAAGGAAGGTCAGTAGGGTTCACTATGAAGCCTTTCAAAGGTTCATCTAACAAGTTAGGGCCGCTAAGGATTACCCATCAATAAGCATGAACTCCTCTCCAAAGAGTGACTGACAAAAGACAAAGAAACCAAAATGCACTCAACCTGGCAGGCAAAGGTCATACCTATCAGAGCCCCTCTTGCACCATAAAGGTAACCACTAACAAGCTAGAAAAGGTCCTCACACTAAGCTAAGGCTAGAGCCATGTAGCCCTCACAGTTGTACTATAAGTCCTGGATGTTCGCTTACAGATAAGTCCTTAGGGAGAGGAATCTAGAGCATCATAAAAATAGCCCAATGCTCTAGAACCCTTGTTCCATGTTGCTAAAAAGCATCTTTTAATGTTTATTGCATATACAATTAGTTAAGTTACAAGATCATGGCCTTTAATTGATCACTAGCATCATACTACCCAATGCAATACCCCATAGGTGACAAGGAATCCAGGATATCAAATAGCTAGGATAATTACTACGGTTGCCAAGGTAGACACATGCATATGATAAGTGACTAATGGTGAATAGGTAACAAGGATGATCCCATGCTACACTTGCCTTAACCTCTGATCCTTGTTCTATTGAATTGTAACCTCTAAAGGACTTCTTCTATATCACCAACTTCTTTTATATCACCAACACCAAGCTCACCGACTGGACATGATCATAGAACACCATACAAGTATCCATGCAATCATACACGAAGCAAACAATATAACTAAATTAGAATAGTACACCAAACATAATAAATAGCAAGTAAATAGGTTTTAAAGATGTCCTACACATTGCTATGAACACACAGACGCGAAAAGCACTCTAATCGGAGATATAACGAAAAAGTTATGAATTAAACAAGATTTCCTTTAATAAAATAATAGATTTAAAACTAATCTCGAATTTCAAAAGTTAAAAAATAGTTTCAACAGTAAGATAAACATGTAGATTACTCAATTACGAACCTAACGCAACTTGAATGGATCAAACCGGAGAAATTATGGCCTAAAGAAAACTAGTGGCAAAACTATAAATAGGTGAAAACGTATTTTGAATCTACTAGAAAGAAACTACGCTTTTAGAATAGGAAAACGTATTTTGGAAGTACGCCATGGACTGCGGGTTAGATTATTCAAAAGCTGAGGGTCTCTTTAGCAAAAGTATGGGGACGACGGGTTCTATACTAGAAAAGGGTAGGCCGTTGATCTCAGATCGGACGGTGCAGATCAAATGGGAGAATGAGGGTTGCCAAAGTGGTGCTATGTGCGGTGGTGCCATGGCCGGGGAGCTCGGCTCCTCACCAGAGTTCATAGGGACGGTCCTAGAGGCCACGGTTAGACTCGGGGATGGCATGGGAAGATAGAGGGAAGCATGATGAACTCACCATGATGCTTTTCGTGGTCAGAGATGGCATGTAGGTGACGCGTGGCTTGGCGGGGCGGATGACGAGCATGGCGTCTAGGGTTTCGAGCTCAGCGCGGTGAGTCGGCGAGATAGGAGCTTGCTCCAAGGCTCAGGATAGGGAGGCATGGCTCGGTCAGCTGCTATTTATGCCCCAGGAGATTGCTTGGAAAGCACGACAAAGGAAGGAGGCATGGTGGACACAGAGTCCATGGTGGCGGTTGTTGAGTCCCGAGCGGACGGGAGGAAGGAGACAGCTAGAGGTGGGAGACGACCAACAAGCGGGTCCCACCGGTCAGTGAGTAGAGGCACGGGTCGGCTGTTAGTGACACACGGCGGGAGAGAGGAAAGCGGTGTGGCATGGGCTTAGCTGGGCTGCTGCACGTGCGGCTGGGCCGCCTGCTGTAAAGGGGCCACGACGGTGAAGGGAGCAGGCCGCGAGAGGAGAAAAGCGAAGCAGGCCGCTGCTGGACCGGGCCTGAGCGGAAGCAGGAAAAATCAGAGCAGGCTAGAAGGGGAAGGAGGGAGAGTGAGGTTTTCTTCTTTTTTCTTCTTTTCTTTACTTTTATTTCAAAATCATTTTCAAATCATTTCAAAAGCATTTGAAATTATTTTTAATTTTGGACAAAACCACTCATACAAAAAAACACAAATGCACCAGCCTGTATGCACAACCATGTTTCTAAACCTTAGGATGAAAAATATTATTTTTCCTATATTTCATGGCACAAAATACAAATTCAAATCATTTTAAGCTATTTTTAAAACCATGCAATTTTAGGGTGTTACATTTTGGTTTGGTGGATGAGCATTGAAAGTCATGCTGCCATTGTTGGCATCTGGAGAAGTTGGGTGGGGAGTGGAATTGATAGAGATGTAAGCAGCTATTTCCTCGTGGACCTACCAAACACTCCAATATTTGTGGTTGAATCTTTTGTCATTTCTAGCTTTCCAAATATGATAGAGAGTTGTGTTCCCTTGTGGACCTGCCAGACACTCTAGGATTTATGGTTAAATCTTTTGTCATTTCTAGCTTTTCAAATATGCCACAGAGTTGTTAGAATTTTTTTGAAGCATATCATCAGGAGTATATGGTTGAATGATAGCTATTCTAAGGAAAATGGACACGTGGCCCATTGTTGACACCTATGGGTGTACACAGAAAAGATCCACAAATGCATGGATATCATAGTAGCTTTTCACCCGAAGTATTCCAAGTATTGTTTCCATAGGGAAACATGTGAGATTAACTATAGTCTAACTTAACTAGGGACAACAATAAGGTTAAGGAAAAATAGGAGTGTAGGGAGGACTTCTAAGGATTTTAACTTCTAACTTAAGTTAGCGTTGTATTCTAACTTAACTTCTAACTCTTTCCTCACTCTCTAGCTTACTATTATGTACAAGGGATAGATCCTCCTAGAGGACTATTCTTCTCTTCAATTGCTACCTATGATTCTGAAGGATAAAGGATGGCCTTCTAGAGAAGGTCAGGGGGTCCTTTTATAGGGGGAGATGGAGTAGGGGGCAAGGCATTGCCACTTCATCAATCCACTTCAAATCCCTCAATCACCGTTGGATGAACTGACTTCAAATAGACCTTCGTGCATGGTGGAGATTGATCCTCATAGGCGGTGAAGACTCCACTTTGAAGGGGAGCTGCTAGGTGGCCCCCACAAGCCAGCCGACCTAGGGGTGGGGCCAGCTAGCCCCCCTCTCAGCCTTTTGCCCTGATCTTAGGCGGTAAGTCTTGGATAAATGTCTTGAAGCCCTTTTTTGTTGAGTCTATCGTAGATCATCAAAATTACTTAATGTGTTATGTCTCATTTTGGCCCGTAGAATTGCTAAATTCACCCGCATGCAAATATTCACCATGCCGTGTGGAATTTGTTAGTTTAAAGCTTCTAAACCTATGGAGATGTTTGATTTTAAGGATTTGAGCAGGTTAAATTGATGGTTTATTTTGGCGGTAGAGACAGTCAACAAGCTCCCCCACACTTGTTCTTTGCTCATCCTCGAGTAAAGATTCAAAATAAAATAAACATGGGTATAACATCTTAAGACATGTAGCTGACATAAAGATTTATTCCAACACATTCCTTATATAGGTGGGATATGTGGCGGTGTCTAACATATATCCTTGAGCGGTTGAAAAGTGGAGTAGCTCTCGAAGCTAAGTCATCTTCCCAAATTCACATCTCAGTAACTCAGAGTTTTTAAAGTTTTCACAAGAAAAACATAGTTCACTTTATACTCCTCAAATGGTACTCTCAAATCGCTCAATGGTGTATGATTCCTCACCAAGGCACATCATAGTAATGCCTTCTTTTTTGTGTCATCCTACTTCTAAAAGGTTTATGTGGAGTTTTAGGTAGGGAAAAATATGAAGGCATATTTGCATTGCATATATTGTTAAGTCAAACAAAGGATCCATGGAGAAAAATGCTATACTCTTAGATCAAGATGTGCGTGTGTGTGGATATATGGTAGATGTATATACTCCTTTTGCAGATATGATCTCTCTCTTCTAACTTATAAAATTTTGAGACATGGATATCTTTCTTTTTCTTTATAAACATGAGTCTTCACGTGCCCATATATTTTTCTCTTTTTTTTCTATACTTGGTCCTTCATGTGTCCATATTAGTTTTTTCTATACCTAGACCTTCATGTGTCCATATATCTTTTTCTTTTTCTCATACTTTTGCATAGCCATTGTCTCTTCTACTAAACCATATATTTAGAGAGAGATCACTATCCTTTAGAACATGGAGTATTTATTTGGTGGAACCTAACAAGTATGATTTTGTCTACTCCCAGTGTAGGAGTAGAATATTTTTAGGTTGATCTAAATGGAAAGCATGTTTTTGTGCCTACTCAAATTTTTTCACAAATATGCCCCTAGAGGTATGATTTCAAAATCTAGACCCTTAGCTCGGCGCCATCATTGGTGGCGCCGAGCTTACATGTCTCGGCACCATAGATTCTGGCGCCTAGGTCGGGGCCACATTGGCGGCGTGGACGCTGACATGGCAGCCAGCTCGGCGCCGTGGATTTTGGCGCCAAGCTCAGCGCCGTGGATCTTGGCGCCGAGCTTGGCGCAGAGCTTAGCGCCGAGCTTGGCGTCGAACTTAGCGCCGAGATCCACGGCGCCGAGCTTGTGTTTTAACCCGGCACCCAACCTTCCTGCCTGAGCCTTCTTCCTCTTCTTTCTCCTCCCTCTCAAGTTTTTTCTCTCCCCACTTCGCCCTACCTCATGAATCGACATATTGGACATTGGAAACTTTGGTTTGATCCATAGATCTTTGAGAGCAAGGTATCCTCGCTCCCTCCTAGTTTTTTTTTCAAATTGATTCGGTATATATTAGTCGGATTATTAACTTAAGAATCATCATTACTTAGGGTTTCATGCAATTTTAATATTTATATTATACAACCGTAGGATGCCAAGGCATGGAAAAGCTACCAAACCAAGGTAACCTCAGTGCATGTTGTTATGTTGTGGGTTCATTGTTGTGGATAAAATGGGAAACCCTAGGTGTGGGGTTTAATGTTAATTGCTTTTGGTTCTTAGAACGAAAATGGCTAAATTGTAGTTATGTCCGGATGACCGGAAATGCCTTTGACCCATTGCCTCTGCCTTGTAGTGTTCCAGTGCCCATGTGCTTTTGTGGCGATCCTTGCCAAGTGGCCAAGTCTGATGAAAAGGACACGTATAGGCAGAGGTATTGGATGTGTTCCAATTTTGCGTTTGAGCCTACACTTCGTTAGTGCCGCATTAACAAGATGGTGAGGAATTGATGTTGTGTAATAATTATTTTGTGTCATATGACATCTTGCATGATTTTTTTGTTTTGTAACAATTGCATTTGTTGTAGACCCCTCCACTGCTCTATGATTTTGAGCAGTGGATCAACCCTGAGATCGGGCCTGAAGACAAGGAATGGATGCAGAAACTATTGCGGTGGGAGGCAGAGGGCAAGGAGATGAAATCAGCGATGGAGGAGAATCTCGATGCCCTAAGGAAGGGAAAGTGTCCTCGTTGCACTCAGTAGTCTCCATTACTTGCTATTTCTATGGTTTATTCATGAACAATGTTGTCTACTGTTGGACTTTTTATTGTGTTGTCATGTAATGCACTTTAAGTGTGGGCATGCTTAGGTCATGTACTGCGTTATTTAGTTTGTCGACATGTACTTCTAGTATTATTGTGTTGTTTATTGTGTCATAGTATTGGACTTTTCATTATATAGTTGTTTTCGTTATTTGTGGTCATACTATTCAGTTTAATATTACAGACGTAGTGAAATGTGATCACGTGCTGCAAACAAAACCTAACGAAGTAGGGCATTATATAATTCAACACACACAACACATGAAATGGTATGTGAAAACATGTACCGAACTAGGGTACAGAGGCCCTGAACTAAACCTAACATGCCTTAGGTAATTCAAGCGAACAACAAGCACAAAAAACACATGGATGTGCCATGTGACAACTCTTCTAAAAGTACTTGTCCTCAAGCTGTCGAGCAGCCTCCTAGAACAGATCAAAGTTATCCTTCACACCATCCTTCCAGAGTAGATTGTTGGCAAGGTGTCGAGTACACCAACGATGGTGTAAAGGTGCATACCCCTCTATCTACTCTCGCATGGCATTAAGTATGCCCTGGTGCCTATCAGATATGACACTAACCTCCCTACCGGACCCAACCACATGTATTCGGACTAGCCTCAAGAACCATCCCCAACTGTCATTGTTCTCCTTCTCAACCAAAGAAAATGCCAAAGGAACCAACTTGTTGTTCGCGTCACAGGATATGGCTATAAGAATTGTGCCCTAGTATTTGCCAATCAGGAACGTACCATCAATGGAGAAGATAGGACGATAGTGCCTAAAGGCCTCGACACTATAATGTATGCCTAGATTCACTGCTTTGATTGCATTGAAAAGTACTAGCAGCTGCTCATACCCATCCTCCTAGTCCCCATATATCATCTTCCACGCTCGCTGCTTAGCCCTCCAAGCTTTACCATAAGTTATCACATAACCTCCATACAATGCCTCAATGGTCCTGATAATTGTCCTAACCTTCATGTTGTGTTCTCCCTACAATATTCCCATCAATCACTTGGCAATGAGGGTAGATGTCAACTGTCGATGCTTTAGTGTGAGCACATGGTCAGCATAATTATGTGGCCCGACAACTTTTGTGATCTTCCACTTTTCGGTGACCTTTTGCTTCCTTGCACAAACCCTCCATGGGCAGCGTAACTTGTCACACACAACTGTGTAAC